TCATGCTGATGTTCTTAATAAATAATGAACAAATGAATTCAAAAGCGTGTGCCGAGACCGTTTAGTTACAAACATCTATAGCACATTTCATCTTATTATAATAAATAATCCAACAGGGCCTTTCCCTACTGCTGAACTGAGGTGTTCTCCATGCCCTCTTGAGCTGGCAGAAAGCTGTACAAGCAGGAGATTGGCTGTCCCCTTTGCCAATCTCAGTCCTGCCTCTGTATTCCCAGTCACTGCAGTCACCTGTCTTCCCTTTTAGGTCCCTGGGAAGCCTAACAAATTTCACGTATCTTGAGACTGCCCTTGGAGGCTGTCAGAAGAAGGGGGAAGGCACAGTTCTAGCAGCAGTTCAGCTAAGTAGGACTTAAGCTGTCTCGCTTATCCACTGGGATGTCCACACCATCATGGGGACACAGCTGAAAAAAATGGTTGGCAGGCCATGTTTGTATACCAGGGTCACATGCAATTGGGACATTTAGAATTGCTGACTTTGCTGCATCTCATAAATTGAAAATGCAGAATTCTTGTGACTTACTGGTTCATAATTAAATCTTTGAAAATGGGAAAACTAAAAATGTGTTGGCTCTGGATTTGCAAGCTAGGAATGCTGGGGAATTTGCTCTTGCGTAGGTCTGTGCTTATATGTCTCTGTCTTTTAAAGTCATATTTTTCTGAGTAAATTTCCTGGTAGGTGGTGACTGATGATGGAAAAACTGTCCATAGTGACAGTTCATTTGGAAATGGAATGGCAGCTTCTTAGTCCTATCTGGCAAGATGAGCTGCTGGAGAGTCTTCTGTATGTCAGCATTACAAAAACATGATGCTTTAGAATCTCAGCACAGCCAGAATTTTATGCCATAATTTGAAGTTCCAATAGCGTTTACTGAATTATTGGGCCTTTCCCACTGTGTCACTAATCAGTCAACAAATCTATGAAAAATCTATGGGAGAATCTTGCAAGATGGGGCCAAAATGACTCCGACAGCTGATTTAACACATTTTACACAAAACGGTAGCTATAATAGAAAAACAAAATTTTATTGGATTTATGAGGAAGATGGTAACTTCTAGCTAAAAAATAGAACTATTAAACAAGTCAAGCTTATAAAGGGGTTTTATAATCCCATGGGGTATTACTGACTGCTAATACCCTTTTGTGGCTTTGTGTAGGGAAAGTACTTTCTCTATTTCTCTCCTTTCTCATGAAACATTTTGAGATAAACAGTGGCGATTTTAGAACTGCAAGCATGAGGGAATTTCTTTAAACTAATTTGATTGATTTATACCATCAAGCCAGTATCAACCCTTGGTGATCACGTAGTTAGACCTTCTCCAGGATGATCTGTCTGTCTTCTGGTCCTTCACATTTACCAATGGTGTACCCATGGTTGCTGTAATCAAGTTAAACTGCAGCATTTTAAAGTAATAAACTGAAGCAGTAATACTGTAATATCTGACGTTTGGCTGTACAGTTCTCATCAGATAGGGGATGCTGACATTCCTTTAGGAAGTTCTGCTGCTCAGCAGGGTTTTAATAATTTTAAGCAGAATTGAATGCTATAGTATTCTCGGAGCCAGCTCTGACTATCCATATGAACTTTTGGGCCCTCTCAGAGATGGATGGTTGTAAAAGTATTTCTGTTGGGTAGAGACTCTGCTGTGTGGCTATCGTGTATCTGGGTCTGTTGCTCATATTGGACTCCTGACTTCATTTCTCCCTTGACCCTGATGCCTTGGCACATCTTTGGATTTACTAGAAATGTTTCCTCACTTTTTAAAGACAATGAAATATCTGGTCTAGATGAGAACAGACACCTGCATTCATCTGGCCAGCTGAACCTGAATCACAAAGGAGGCTCTGGGATCACATAATTGCAACATGTTTGAAAATTATATGCATTGCATTCTATTAGGTGTTATCTTTATCTTTTTACTGTTCCACCCCCACAGATCTATTCTTTGTAAAATCTAAATCTGTACAAAAACAATGCTGGGACTTGTGTGTGTATGTATGTGTGTTGACATGTACTATTTAGGAATTTTTATTTATCACTTGAGCTAGAGGACTGAGAAGATATTTGCATTGTATATATCAGAGTGTGCTTTAGTTACACTTCAGTGACCAGGCATCTTCTTGTTTAAATAAAATTATTTGGGGCGGGGGAGGAAAAATGTGGATATTTCATCATAAACTATTTCTTAAATAGTTAGAATTTTTAAAAGTCAGAAAGAAAGCAGGCTACACCAGCAGCAACAGCAATAAGTCTAAGGACTTATACATGCAGCTGCTGAAAGATGCCTTACTAATCTTCTTGAAGGACATGTCCTTAATATGCTGCCTTCTTTCCCCAGCCAGTAGCTGAGGCTACATCTGATGTTAAAGTGATGTTTTCCATCATCTCCCCACATAAGTCTTTCTCTGTGGTGCTTTGGTGGTAGGGTGATGAAGCAGCAAGGGCTAGAATCTGTCCAGCTCCTATGGACCACTTTGGGCCCCTGGAGGTATGCCCCTCCCCCTTCCCGTGATCAACGGCAATATCCTTCCATTGTCATATAGGCTTAGGCAATGGGTTGATCAGGACCAGGCATTTGCCCACATTCTGTAAGAAGGGGATGTAAGCTACTCAGGGTCCTGCTGGATTGGAGTGGCAAATCAGCCCCAGCAAATCAATCAATAATGCTTGACCAGCACTTCACAAAGTACCAGCCAGGCATTACAAGGCAGGTCTACACAGGTCAAGTAGTCTTGCATGAGATTGCTTCATCCAGATTAAAAAAAAAAAAAATTCTGATTGAAAGGCAGCTGGTACAGTGAATTGAAGTGGATGGGAATTCTCCCAGTGTGCCGCTTCTGATACCCTGACTTCACACCTTAGGCATCACAGATGATGCCAGGATGGACAGATGCTTCCAGGTCACATAAGAGAGGCTTACCCCTGCAGCCTCATCTCATGGATCAAGGTCTGACAAATAGTTTAACCCCTGGGTCAAAACTCATCTCCTTCCCCACCTCCACCCCCACCCCATGTTAGAGCAATTGGTGGATGTTTTTCCTACCAGCAGGAAATCTGCCGATTACTTTCCTTAACTTGTCCCACCTAAAGGATGTCAAGATAGAGAATGCTGCCTTGTCCTGGCACCGTCTTGCCTTAATTCCAAGGCAGAGTAGAGATTGCCTGCCTCAGGAACTGGAGGAAAACACGTTAAGCTGGTGATCTAGATGTGCCCTAAGAGAGAAATAACAAGTTATTTCAGTTTTCAAAAAGGAGAACCAATTTCTAATGTTAATCAAACTGAAGGAGGGATGGAGGGTTTTTTAGTGTTGTGAATTACAGTATACCATTTCGGACTGTAAGAAAGAAGGCTTGTATTTTGCCTGCTCCTTCTATACATGAAAGCTCATGGATGTGTTTTACTAGGACCTAGGAGAAAGTTTCAATACAGTATGTCTGATAGACAACTTTGCTATGTGCAGGAAATGTTTTAGCTGAAGAGGCAGGGAAAGCCTGGAAAAAAAATCATTCCCTTCTCACCTGCGGTCAGACTAGTATGATTTGCCATTCCAGCCTACTATTTTATTTATACAACTGTCTCTTACCAAAGAAAATACAATAAAAGTGCTATATCTATGTCTCCCTACCCAAAAACCTACCAACCTATGTCTCCAACTTAGCCTGGTTCACTGAGGCAGGTGGCAAAAAAGGAATTATATACTTTACAGCAAAGAATACCGTGAAGATTTGTATTATATACAGTGGTACCTCGGGATACGAACTTAATCCGTTCCGTGACTCTGGGCGTATCCCGAGTTGGTCGTAACCCGACGCAAATTTCCCCGTACGGTTCAATGTAAATCTGGTTAATCCATTCCGCCCTCTGAATTTG